ATATATCGTTCAGCTGTAGCACCCTTTCGGTGCCTAACTGCCATGCCACCCGAGAGTTGCATGAGGGCTGGGATACTGCCAGGTTGCCCAAGCCTAGACAGGGGGAGTCGAGAGGTAGGGGTTGGGTTCGAACCATGGACCTTCCGGTGAGTAAATTCGTGCTCTAACCTCTTGGGCCATCTCGCCCCTGTGGATGGTAAAATGGGAAGTGTATAAAAATATAAACTGAAGGTCTGAAAACTACAACCGTGTGATTTGGATCACGCGAAAAAAAACAGAACCGAAGTGTTCTACCATGGCAGTGCCGGCTTCAGTGGTCTGTGGAAGCTTAGATTCAGTTGAAAACAATTGGACACACAGCGACACCAGCTCCGCCGGGAGGGTTTCACATTTGGTTGATTGTGGAAATTAAGACACTTGTTGTTTTTGTCACATAAGTAGATGTAACACAACACAAGTGACTCGAGCTGTGACCAAAATGTCCTTGTTTCAGAAACCTGACACTTCAACCTCCCCTACATGATTTTCTCACTTCGGACGAGACACTCGATGTTGCGAATTGAATAACCCCAGAAACAAAAGCGAAGGAGTGGTCTGTTATATCTTCGATATTTTCGGGTTACTTACCGTCAAAGTTAGCTTGATGCCTACTAGCCTCAGAATTTGGAACACAAGTTAGACGGCCTGAAAACAGAATCTGTCTGTTTGATCCGAATGGGAAATCACGAATGTTTCACATCTCACGAGATGCGACCGTGCGACTGACCGGATGTGACAGACCGGTGGATGAACATCAACTCACCCAAGTCAAAGCTTTCGTCATATTTTCCTCTACTCACAAAATTCGTTCGATATATAGACTTATGCGGATATCATGGAAACCCATACCTAGAGAGTTGCTGTGCACATCTTCAAGATTGGAAGCCTCTGCATGAAAATTCATCTGTTTATTTTGTACATAAATTCGAGTAGTATATAGACTTATGCGGATATCATGGAAACCCATACCTAGAGAGTTGCTGTGCACATCTTCAAGATTGGAAGCCTCTGCATGAAAATTCATCTGTTTATTTTGTACATAATCTAATCCGAAGTATGTAGCGGAACGGCTGTCATCGAGGAAAACCTATGCGTTAATTGTGGTTTATTTGTCATTCATCTGTGTGAAAATTCTGCCAACCTGTGGAGAACACGTGCTCATAGGGTTATTGATTTCCACACCCGACTGACAGTCACATCAACACGGACGGAAATAACCCTTGACGTTGTAAGAACGATGGAAGGGTGACCGTGAGAAGAAGTTTACTGTCTACCTTTATGCACGACATGCACCCGGGGTAATATAGATTTGTAATCGGTGGGAGTTACATCGAGACATTTTGGTGGGTTTCGTTCTGCTCAGTGTGAACTTGTAAAAAATGAGATTGTTCGTCATCGGGATTAGTTGTCAGTTGGTGGGAATAGGAGACATTGTCAGTTCCGATGCGATGCAGCAGCAGTTTACAACTGGTAATCGATCACATGGTTTTCACTCTCCTAGAAATTCAATTGCAAACATTTTTTCACCAACCGAGGAGGTATAATCAGCGCGCAGTTGGGTGGGTGGGTGTTCCTTACCTGCGTGCCCTTATATAACATTTGGGTGGCATCCTTTATCTCAGTATGATTCGTCAATCGCGTTTCCGTCAGTTCATTGGTCCGTTTGGTGTCTGTGTTACGTTGCGGTCCGCATTCCTCCAATTAGGTTGCTTATCTCCGTACCTTCTGTTTCCAATATTTTTTGTCCCTTGCTTCGATTGGCCTCTTCTTAACTCGACTGACCTTGTGCTCTGATTGGTTGGTTGCACCGTCCTATTTTTTCATTAGCGACTGGTGTCCTTGCCCCCTCGGGTAATTTGGTCCTTTGCTGGGCGCCTACTCCAATCACATTTGTGTTCGTTTGAACCGAGCTTTCCTCATCTTGTTTCTCGTACAATTTTGAGCTCTGTAGCTTTGATCCTTATTGCTTGATTAAGGAGGCGAGATGGCTCAGTGGTTCGGGTGAGACGGCTCACTGGTTAGACGTGAATGGTGAGCTCACATCAAGCGCGACCATTACTTCGTCCTGATCGTTCTATAGTCTTTCCAAAAATTGTGCCGCATTGTTTACTGAGTGCTTAGACCCACCTGTAAGATGTTCCAACTTTTCCATAGTTCTTTCGTAAGATTGTAGGTCACGTTCCAGGTCAGAGAGGTATCTCACCTCTGTGTATTCGCGTAAAAGCAGGGAGTGGCCGAATCACCAAGCATCGTTCCCAATATTCCTCTCTCGTAATCTCATGAGATTCCTTTAATTCATTTTTTGATTTTGTTTGTCAGTTTGCTTGCTTTGGCCGCGTTCTGAGTGGCGATACTTAGCTGTGTCGTTGGGTTGGTCCTTGCTTGATAATGGTTAGGAGTCCTTCGTCAGCTGATAGAATGATGGTGCTTCAATCCTTCCTAAAGACACCGTTCCCCAGCCGGAAAAGGGCTTGATGCGTGTGATATCTACACTAACCGACGGGTAGAGTTCACGGGTACATAATCAGCGGTTACCGAAAAAGTGTCTGGAGTGACCTATGGTGGTTTTCTTCTGAGCCGATTGGCGGTGGACGATTTATACACAAGAGTTTTAGGATCCGTTCGTGAAATTCGGACAGCCGATTACGATCTTGTTTCCAAAGATGGTCAGTAATCTCTTCTATGGATGAGTTCGTAGGAGCGATTCGTTCCAGTTACTTCTACTTTAGCATTAGGTTTGATGAGACAACTCAAAACGCCTGATAGCTGAAAGTTCGCTAGACATAATCCCAAAGTAATGTTTAAGTTCAGCTATTACAGTACTGACCTTCGATCACCTTGTGGATCCACTTGCTTATTTGTTACAGCTTAGCTACCGCCGATTTGGACGGCAACGGGATAGCTGACATAATTGTTGGGTCTCCGTATTTCACAGAGCGGAAAGATGACAAAGATCAGGACGACTCTGATTGGTCAGTGAAATCGGCCAAATCCAATCGGCCACGTGACACGTTGAATGCACCGAGAGAAGAGGAGGAGCGTGATTCAGACCCGAATATCGTTGATAGGCTGTGGGGTCGTTTGCTACCCGACATAGGTCGCGTGTATGTCTTTCATGGATTCCCATCTAATCTGACCAGCAACACGTTGGTGAACAGCGACTCTCTCAGGCCTGATTATCTGAGTCGTCCACCAGTGATTCTGGACGGTCCGAAGTCAGTCGGAGGGCGATTTGGTCACTCGGTGGTCAGTATGGGCGACGTGGATGGCGACAGTACAGAAGACTTGGCAATTAGCTGCCCTTATTGTTCTGATCCTGAAGGGACTCGTGAGAAAGGTGCGGTTTTCATTTACCTGGGCAAGAAAGACACAATTTTAGAAGACGAACCATTCCAGGTTAGTTTGATGAGATTTTACATACATTTTTCGCTACGTCGCTCTTCATAGAAAGAAACTCACCACCCCTTTGAATACCATAACAGATAACATTCATCTCCTTGGCAATTTCGTATGCACCACAGTATGCCTTTCCCGAAGCCCGACACAAATGTCCTGGTATTAGACTGATTGAGCAGACCGAAGCTTCGATAGCCAAGCAAAGAGCAAGAGTGGTTATCACGTGATGCTACGACTCACAGCCAAAACTGTCCAGCTTAGCAGTTCGATTCACTGACACACACGATGTTACCAGTCTATGGACTGCTTTTCCAGTCCAGAGCAAATTGGGACCACACTCTAACGGGAAACGTCATGCAAATACAACGCGCTGCAACCGTATGAAGATTCCTGAAGCGGGAGTCTCCCAGAAAAAACGAGGTACATAACTGTCAAAAGGAAACACTGTTCTGGTCGGCGCTGAATGAGCTACACCAGGCCATCATGAATGAGAGATTAAGTTGAATCGCCCGTCAAAACCAAATTCATGTACAAATCAACTTATTTGACGAATTTTGCCGACTTTGTATCCAATTAGGATAAAACTTCGATGGAAGCCCGGGGTCTGCACCAACCTGATGAGCCCTGATGGGAGTAGAATCGCTGTCGGACAGTTTTCAGCAACCTTGTGAGTAGTGTATTACGTCTAGATGGTGTGACGCTTTATTTGTGGTCACTCTCTTTCACTTCTCCTTCATGTGACAACCCAAATAACGAATTAGACAGCAGTCCACAATACCTTGTAATCCGTAAATTCATTAGGTCAGTGCCGAACAACTCCGCCAACTTCAATCCAGACCCTGCTCTGCATTGGATTATTCCGGTAGTAAGCGCCAATTCAACATCGGGTACAAAGTGCTTTGAAGAAACCAACGTTGCCGTTTAACGAAGATCTTGGAGGTATTTTGTTCCCGATAAATCAACCATCAATAAGCACTTAAATGTCATTCTGATGTCGAAATTTTGGATGTAAGTCGAAAGAAAGGAATGTCGTTCACTTACACCGCCTCATTATTTGGGGCACCTATTTATGACCCTCAGATTGTTGCGGATGAACCCTCAGAAAATTTGATGTCACCATATATTTTTTACCTGTACGTTTGAAACAATAACCTCCTATTCCCGGATGACTGCTGGATTGTCACTGAAAGCTGATAACTGTCCGGAGGCCAGCCGCTCCTAATAACCGAACAATTGGACGGATGTGTCACGTGCGAGTTACGGACCAAACGAAGACATGCCCTGATTGGTCAGAATGCCAGTCAATCTTGATCGAGCATCCGTAGCTCAACGCCTTTCGTCCACCCCCTCGCGAAGACTCTATCGCGAGCAACATTCTGTGATGACCCTATGAATACGGCTGTAATAATCTCCCTTTGTTTCCATAACGGGTTGTCTGAAGCTACTGTGTCTTTTAATATCCCATAATGGGCGAGGCAGGAAGCCAAGGACTGACACTGAGTTGCACAACCGTTCATCAAAACAACAATAACCTTATAAATATTTCGTTCGTTTACTTTAGGTTAGGTATTTGTGGCCCCGTGTTGGCTGTCCCTTAGGCAGTGACAATCCGTGCTAGTGAATTACTTGAAGCCTTTAAGCCATAAGTTTTCTCTCTTTCTCTCTCATCCCGAGCACAGGGATATTCTCCGCCTTCCCTATCTTGCCTCTACCTATAGTTATCAGGTTATTTGGCCAGCTGAACTCCCCCGGGCTGCCCCCATCACAACCTGCGGAGATTTCGATACCCACGATTCAGGCCACCGAATGTTCAAAAGCTTCGGGCGGAGCTTATCTGCCGGTATTGATTTGGATGGGAACCATCCTCCGGATCTGATTGCTGGCGATTTTGAGAGTGATCAGTTACGTGATGTATCGCAAGTTCTTCCCTTCCCTTATTGTCCGAATGTCTCCATTTCAGTGGGTAAATCGAAACTGTTGACTTGGATCATCCACGTGGTTAAAGAAAACCTGACTCTAAACATTTTTCAATCGTATTTCAGCAGAACCTTGTGAACAAAGGGCGTGACTACCAAGGCTAGGAGACTGAATTTAGGTCCACATCCAGGGTTAGATCCTTTACTGCTCCACCTGAAGGGAGTCAATATCCTTGCAATACCATCATTCAATCAATAATTTCCTCCACTTGGTGCTTTCTTTGGAGGACGGCTACTCACTAGCAGGTCAAAGCTACGAATCAGAAAACCTGAGTTTCAGCCACATGACACTCGCAACTGGATGGCGTCACAAATGGGACCACCAGACACAGGGAACCGCGGTGAGTCCCCAAACACCGACATACTCCAGTGCAGACACGGTTGTAGAGACTATTCTCGACAAGTCGCTCATAATGGCTTTAAACAGCTGCCGTCGAGTTGGGAATTCTCAGCGACACCATATTTGTCGTCCGAAAGTTGATGCTAGTTCTGGAGTGGCAGTGAGACCTTCGCATTAAACAGATGATGACTGACGTGTCCGGCGTTAATGCACCACTTTAGAAAGGCCCGAAGGTTGTCGATCGAAAACAGATATGAAAATTGAGGGGCACGTATTCTGGATCAATCCGGGTCCTCCCTTCTCTTCATTAGTTCTCATCACTTCGTCCGTCTGGCATGGATTGCAATACAGGTTTAGTTTCTTCAGGCAACCAGCACGAGAAACTCAAACCTAAGTTGGGACATTATTAATCAGGAGAGAAAAACGAAGGGAGAAAATGTTTAAACAGACTAGTTCTTCCACAAAATCCCGGTGAAACAATCCCACATACGAGTGGAAGTTCCATTTCACAACGGCTCCTTTGTGACCCTCTCCTTAAGTTATCTTCGAGATATGAAACACCACTCCAAGACATTAGAGAGCTATCGTTCCTCTGGTTAATAATGAGAGACTTCTGTTGTCTAAGTCGAATGTTAATCGACGTTTATGGAACAGTCCAACTTGTCTGGTTTCTCCGTATAATAAAATGCAACCTTTAGATAACTGTGGCTGCCAACCCAGACAGACGATTGCCAGGAGTCTCATTCTTTCTGCTACATTCCACACACACACACACACACACACACACACACAAAGTGATCCTTACTACATGAGTTCTAGTAATTCATGTGAACAACGTTCATCTGATATTTTGGGTTGATTTCACTGTTCAACTCATCGCCTTGAGAGATCTAACTGCAAGAGTTCACAAGCATGCGGCTTATGAATCGATCGATAACGATTTTCAAATCGAATAATAGGACAGACAGGCAACGGGAAAAGCAACAACAATGCGTCCACCTCACAAAGGGTTGAATGAACTCGAAGAAATCAACGCACTTGGGTAAAAGAAACGAGTTGCAGTCCTGTTAATAACAATAATAGTGATAATACTAAAAATCGTCCATTTGTGACACCCCTTCGGTGCCTAGCTGCCATAACACCAGGAGGAAGCACGGGAGCCGGGATACTGCCATATTGCCCAACCTTAATGAGGAGCGGTCGAAATGCTGAGATTGGATTTGAACCACGAACCGTTCGTATTTTAACCGCTGGCCCACACCAAAGACGTATAACAAGCCCATAAACCTGTTTTGAATTATGTGAAACACTTGATATCCGAGGATAAGCAATAAGTAGCGGAATTCCAGGAATCAGCGTAAACCACTGCAGATTCAATTAACTTCTTGTTGGACTGGATCCAGTCTGTGCACTATTGTACGGAAGGAAACAGCGTCCTAACCACAATACACGAATGGATCCCTCAAGAGAGTTATGATTCGCATGAGCTCACACGGAGGATCACCACATCCTGGTCGTAACTATGACAGATGGGGAGTACTCAGAAACTGGGTGGCATTCTGATATCTGACATTTCAACTCGGATACCTTGCACATACAGCGTCTTTCTAGAAAATTCCCCATTCGGATTCGTGGAGCTGTTCCAATTCATCGTATGAAACGAAAAAAATGCTGTCCAGCAATTTTAAAAATTACGTATAACACTAACTAGTGACTACATGTTTCACGAGCACTTTCTTCTCGTTAATACAACCTAAAGTACTTGTTTTCCTGTACCAATTAGACTCCAGGTTAGTCCAGTAGTCAGCAACAGTAACTCAGTTTGGATGACTAAATTTCGAATTCCCGAACTGATCGTACAGGATACCGCTTTGAAAATCATCACACATGTTCTATCATTAACGAAGCACGTAAAAAGATCCCTTCGACACTTCATCTAACATAGTAAATCTCTACTCTGCATTCTTAGGTTGTTTTCCTTCGAGCTCGTAACACGATTTGGTTTGATTCTCCTGAATGGGATCTTCCATTGGCCAGAACTTTACCCTGGTCCGGGCCAGACGAAACCGAATGTGGAACGCAGTGTCAATTTCGAGTTCAGTTGAGCGTCCGCGTCCATGGAAAACCTAGTCTCCTTCAACGGCACCAGACCGAACAGTTTAAACTACACGTAGCAGTTGACATGGATGCTTCGATTGTGAATCTGGTCTACAAGCGACTGGCGGGTGTAAGCGATATGCAGAACGCCGGTGGCAATGGTTTCATGTCGATGGGTTTGTTAGAGTCGGTCGTTCCCATTACGATCATCAGAGATACGTTGATGAACGCGAACCGTATGGTATTGTTGTCACTAACGCTTGAGCCTCAGTCCGCCCGAGTAAGACCGTACATTTGGAAACCCATACTCCTCAATGCAACAATCACACCAGCTTTTAACGCAATGCCCCATGTTCCTGGACCCAAGGAGGTCAACTCGTGGATGCTTCATCCGTTTCTAGGTGAACGACATTTTGTCAGTCGCCCCCTGCAATTCGCCAATCCCGCTTGTGGTGCGGACAACATCTGTTATGCCGACCTTCAAGTGCGTATGATGGACATGTCTGTGGGTGCCCTGGAAAAATTGGTTGTCTACTTTCGGGAACGTGTGACACAACGCAACCTGACAGTTGGTGTGGGCAACTTGGGGGAGAACGCCTACGCAGCCCAATTACGGATGACCATTCCCCATCAGTTCAGTTTTGTGATCCCCGAGGAGTTGCACTGTCAGTCAAAGGTGCTTCCAGATATTCAGGTAACTTATCTACAAATTTGTCCGATTACTTTTGAAATACCAAGGATATCGGTTTCCTGTACGCACCTAGGGAGTAATATTTTACTCATCACGTTTCGTTTCTTAAAGGAGTATCGAATGCTCACGCACACAAGACAGTGTGTGCTAGTCTGTTGTACTGCCACAGTTCAATGGCGCGATTTGACAGACAAATTGGCTTATCACGGCAGTTGCCATGTGGAAGGCGTCTCCGAACGTTCGGCGTTCTATGGTGTTTAGATCCGCCACATGGCAGTACAGACTGTCACAGCACTTTATCGATGCAGTAACGAGAAAACAGGTCAGTCGGTCACGAATTGAAAGATGTATCTATTGTCCAGTTCTCTAATGACAGATGCCTTTCAATCTGAGCCTCAAATTGTAATGCCTCTGCCTAACCGCTATCTACACGCTGACTGAAACAACGTTTGACCGTTGCAACACTTGATGAATAACAGCCACGCAACTGAATGGAAACACGAGGGGATGAGATATTGCAAAATTGTCTGAGGCAAGTCAATAGCAGTTGAGAAGTTACGGTTGGGTTCGAACCATGGATATTCCGAGATCGAGCTCGCAGCAACTGAAACGACTGTCTTTTAGAATACGATCAGACAATTGGTCGGACGTAATTCACGATGGACCGCTACTATCCCCCCGCTACTACGCCACCCATATATATCAGCTTTTGGAAACCAACCACAATAGTTTTCTTGTGCTAGAGACTTTTGCTTACAAACGCATAGGTGACTTAAAGTACAAATCCTTGACATTCTATAGCACGGACGAACTTTGATCCACGAGTTCACTTGGCTTGAAGTTAAAAATGAAGGTCTTACGAAAATTCCAATGGCTCAAGTTTCCTATCTGAACGGGACTGCATTTTAAAACAGAGTCCCAACCTCCAGGCTAGTAGTCTGAACACTCAAGCGTGAGAATTCGAGCGCCCGACAAGGAGTATGAGTAGCTCTCATTTAAAAAGGGCAAAATGCCACTCATCCTTTAGTCACATTGTACACATCAAGTTGTCATTGGCCTGTCGGGCAACCACTCCTCACTCTAACGTCAATCTCAGAGGAATAAGAAACTCCGCCGGACAAAAGGAGCTTCCGTCTTAGATGTTACGTTGGTGCGGCCAGTGAACGCATTTCATCACGTGATGTAGACTATATGTGATTGAAGGATGAGCGGTGCCACATCCATTCTAAATGCGAGTGAATCACATTGCTCATCCGGAACTCGATTTCGAACGACTGTGTTCGAATTGCTACCAAACAGGAGGCCAAAGGTCCGAGGTTCCCTGCTGGACATTTATAACATACTCAATGTTGGTGAGTTTCAATAAGAATGAAACAACCTTATCAACAAAGATTACCTTCACATATGGGACGAATGCAAAATTCCCGCTCATCCAACTGAAAGCTGTTTGGTTTCGGAATCTTACCTTGTGATTACCAACCCCGTAATATGAGCAGATCATTTCCTCACACTAACTTCTTGGGGACCTCCCAACGTGTTTCCTCGAAAGGAGAAATACTTTATAAAGGAAACTATTCACAAGGTTGCTGAAAATCCGTCGACAGCCCGCGACCGGTTTCGCCCTTCTTGGGGCTCATCAGGTAGGCGCCGTCTCCGGGTTTCCGTCAACCTTATGTTCCACTTGACTGTTTTCGAGAAATACACTCATTTGCAAATCAATTTGGTAATTTGCGATCACTACAATCAAACGGGAGCCCCGACTTCCAAGTCTGGTTGCTCGTCTGCAGTAAAGGTGGCCTACCCGAGTAATTTCATTATCACTGTATTTGCCTTATTCTATGTTGACTGCGTCTCCGAACGTTCGACATTTTCTGGTGTTTAGATCCATCACATGGCAGTACAGACTGTAGCAGCACTTTAATGACGCATTAACAGGAAAGCAGGTCAGTCGGTCACGAATTGAGAAATGTATCTATTGTCCAGTTCTCTGATGACTGATGCCTTAAAAACTGAGCCTTGGATTGTAATATGTAAGTTACCTGTAACTTATGCCTAACCTCTGTCTCCACACCATTTAATAGGCGTTGACTGAAACAACGTTTGACTGTTGCAACACTTGATGAATAACAGCCACGCAACTGAATGGAAACACGAGGGGATGAGATATTGCAAAATTGTCTGAGGCAAGTCAACAGCAGTTGAGAAGTTACGGTTGGGTTCGAACAATGGACGTTCCGGGCTTGAGCTCTCTGGCAACTCCCCTCACCATCAGGATGCCATTTGGCCACGTTAATGCAAACACAACGAAAATTTCGCACAATCGCAAATTTTCAGCTTGTTAGCGCCGAACTAACCATATTTTCCATTTCGACGGTGGTCTGTTTTTTAGCTTCCAACAGAAAAATCCCATCATAATTTTATGATTTCCTACTGGGTAAAAACAAGTCGGAAAGAGGTGGAGCCGTAATTATTTTCTGTACATAAAATTCGGAGAGAACAACGGAATAGACAGCGGAAGTTGTTTTGCAATCATCCGACAAAAACAAAGAGAACATTGAATTGCTTTTATGACAGTTAACTAGACCACTCTGACTGTCTGCCTGTTGAATGTTTATTCTGAAAACATCAGATATTTTGGAATTCCTCTCAACTTAACCGATAAAGCTTCAATTCAATCTCGCCTAATTCCGCCGGCCAAGAATATGCCTAATCCTAACAGGGTTGTGCCTGCACATCATACCGTGAACCCTCTGTATTAATAGAGTGACTGACTGGAAGCTGATATTGATTGATTCAGATTTAACGGATGTCGTTAGATGTCAAAATGGTTTTAGGAACTCTAGCGTGCTACCTTTTGCTGTCGATCTTCTCCTGTAAAAGGAGTCATTCTATGCTGAAAGCCGAGAAGCACTGTACAGCCGTTTCAACTCGCCAGTAGTGCGCATCTCACGAAGCTCCAGCAGGAAGTCTTAAACTCCTTGAACCTCCAGGTTGGTATTTTGAACGATTAATCTTTTGCCAACGTGATCAGCTCGCACTTGGACAGAATACAGTGCCTCCCATCCTTCAATCACAGAAATCGCACCACTGTCGGTAGTTGTCACTTGAGCAGTCAGTCAGATCATTTGGCAAGTTTCCAGAGTCCTTCAACACAGAACGCAGACACCAGACTGCGTTGGCACCGGAGAGCTTTTCCGAGTTTCTGTGATCAAATTAGGGGACTAGGTTATAAAGAGAGTCCTGCGTGTCACGAACGAAATGGTTCTGGCTGTAATCGTGATAATGTGGTATGTACTAGCGTCTGATCTACATCATATCGCATAAAGTTTGTCCCTTCCTGCACCCTTACCTAGTCTATGTTCGTATCTTTCACCCAATTCGGAACGCCTGATGCTCCGTTGAATCCAGTGTTCCGAATATCGACCACATGTGCTTGTTTGGATAAGGCTGCTTGGTTTTCAAAGTCCAATACGAATTTTACATGACAGTTACGCGTATCTGAGTGACGTTGGCTAGAGTAATGCTGTAAAAAGTTTGTCGTCCCTTGCTGAATATCTGAAATTAGCCAACCAGTTGAATACCGTAACATCTTTGTGTGCTACGGCTAGGCAGAAATCAACAGCCACACTCTTTGATTTCAAAAGGGAATTAATTCTTTGTAATGTGCCACTCATAATGTTGTTGAAAATCTGTTAACAGCTCACGACCGGTTTCGCCTTTCCTGTGGCCCATCAGGTAGGCGCAGTCCCCGGGTTTGCGTCAAACGTACGTTCTACTTGAAGCATAATTGCACGAAATTACCGAATGTGCACTCATTTGCAAACTAATTTGGTTTTTCCAGAGACTCACTTGGAACCCAGCTGAACCTCACGTTTGTGATGTTCTCAGGCAACTGAATGTGCGGCACCAGGCCGCCTCATTTTTCAGTCGCTACGATATTCGAGATACCGCGATACATGTATATCTTTGTAATGTAGTACTCATAAGGTTGCTGGAAATCCGTCGACAGCCCACGACCGGTTTTGCCTTTTTTGGGGCTCATCAGATAGGCGCAGTCTCCGGGTTTTTATCAACCTTATGTTCGACTTGAACTACTTCTTGTCCTTGGGAGTAGTACGTTTCAAGCTGAAAATTTCACCAGCCCCCTCAAGGTGATCTTGTTTTTCCCGTTCAGCTCATTGATAAAGATCGCCAAACTGACAAAAGTTAATGTTTCCAGGGAGGCTGTTCCCATTCAGAGTAGCCAAAAACTTTACTCTGTGATCCTTCTTCTGCTGTAGGAAGTTGTTTGTTTGTTCGAATTCAACCTAGGCTACACATGCTTGACGAAATACTAATTAAAATTTCCGAGTCTCCTCATACTATTAATTAAACCAGAAGTAGCTCAAAAGTTTTAGAGATTCACCCGTTGCGTGAGCCTTCTTCCTCGGTAGTCACTCAAGGGGCCGGTCAACACGTGACCACGCGATGTAAATTCCGTAAATGACAGATGAGGAACGTTATGCCTCGACTAAGTGTGAGCTGATCACATTGTTGATCAGCCGGATGCTGCCGGTTCGAAAATCTCCCCGGAGTTCCGTGTGATGCGCGCTGTTGATGTTTCCCTACGAAGATGAAACAGCTAGAGGGAGATTTCAACTTCGTAGCATTGACTAACTACATTTGGGTCTCAAAATGTCGACTGAAACATCCAAACCTCGTCTTACTATCGACAAAATTCCGTCTACCTCGGACAATAAAGGACTAATAGTGGGTAATATAACTCTACTCTTCTCGAGGGTGTTTTCATGCCAGGGTTAGTCTGCAACGTGATTTATAGTTCAATCAAGTTTTCCGTTATTTCGATTTGAGTAGGTGTGGTTTTATGGATTACTAAGAACGTGGAATTTAAACTCATATTTTACGCACCCCGGCTAAAACGGTAATCTACTTCTGAATAGTTGCGAGGACGTAAAAAAACCTGAGGGGACCCAATTTAGACTGAAACTCTGTAAGTTAAAACTGTGGTTTAAGTCGGTGTTTGCGTGCTGTCGTGTTTTTGTGTAAAAAAAACTGCGCCATATCATTCCCCATGGTTTGTGGTTGATAAAAGCCTGTGCATAGTTCCTGCTTTTATTCGATGAACTCGACTTAGAAATATGTGTGTTACTTTCGTCCACATTAGAAAAAAACACCACCAATGGAGCGTGAAGAACACTTGATGCACACTTTGCGCATTCAAATGTGGTTTTATTGCGCCAATCAAATTTCCAGTCTCGGAGTGATTATGACTTGGGTCCGATACAACCGTATGGCCGAGTATGACTTTCAAATCATATTTCGATTGTAGGAAATGGACTTTTTAATGGTTAAGTTTGCATATTTTTCCTTAGTAGCTTTATTCAACCTATTCGGTACTTTGTGTTCGCCCAAATCGAATATACTTTCTACTAGTTTTGACAAGTTAGTGGTTGAAGCCTTCTGTGATTAAATGCACTTGGACCGCGGAGCAGATTATTCCTTCTCCTTGATGGAGGAACGCTGATGGAATTAGTGGAATACGTCTGTCCTGTGAGCAGTGGTTAATACTAATTAGCCGCCTTTAGTCGGAAAACAGCGTACTTTAACTCCTCTTCGGCAAGTTGGGGTTCGAATCTTCTGATGATTCATGAGATAAAGTTGGTTTGCAACAAGGACTAAGTGACCCTCCACAGTGCGTCCTGATTATTAATTCCATAGTAACTCCATCGTGCTCAGGCTTAAATGATTCTGGTTGCGGAAGAACCGTGCTGACAAAAACATGGAGGGATTTGAACCTTACTGATGACTAAGTTGATTGACCTCTGATTGATTCACGCTCCTTTTATCCCTGTCTATTGTCAATAATATGGATCATTTAGCTATCGGATTTGGCTGCCCCGAGAAGAAATGAGCAGAACGATTTATTCGTCCAACACTATGTAACTACTGGCCAAGTGGTCGGGGGCCAGTCCCTGTTTACCCAAGTGAAAACATTGGACGGGGGTTTTTTGTTTCGGAAATGAACCATATCACGTGGCAGTTAATCTCACTTCATCATGCCCCGCCTCAAAATACACACATTAAACCATCACAATAATGTTCGAGTAAACCGAAATGTGTATGCTTCGGCTACGAAAAGGGCTCAAGACGCTAGTTTGGTCATCCAAAAGGTTTTACCGACAATCGACGCTTAAACCACTTCCTCTCGTTGCCTTCCACAGGCAACACAAATATTCCGCGAACTTGGCGATCCACTTGGCTTTACCGGTAGAAATCTACGTCCGTTTGTAGTCCAACTAAACACTGCCGGAGCGTTCCGCGAATTGGATGAACTAGTCAACGATGAACCAGCCACAAGTCCGAACGCATCAGAAGCTAGCTTAGAGCCTTCATCTAAACCATATTGGTCACCATCAGACGGTTCAAGAGGGCCACTGTCTCAAAAGACTCCGTCAAAATCACAGCGGAAGTGATATGTGGCAACGAGGACCAGAACTTGCGAGATAACAGAGCGCCAATTACGTACAAACTTCAGTTGGCTGAAAAAATTGAGGTTTTCGTGGATTTTTCTTGTCTGAGTTTATAGTGTTTCTATTTCTACGGAGGGTACTCTTCATGGCGGTCGGTCCTCGAATGATTTTGGTAGGTCATTTCCATATTCCTAGATAAGTTTTCTTCATGGCGACCGTGAACTTCGCTGAGCACCTGATTTACTGGAAGAACCTCCACAAAAAAGGGCCTGGGAATTTTGAAAGTTGCACCAGATCAGCGGTTTCCAAAGGTTCTGCTACTTTCCAATTGGGGCGCTTTCTTAATTTCCGTGTTGTTTGGGGCATGTGGACGTGCTAAAAGAAAGGGGGAGTTACCGCCCAAGGAGTTGGTGAAAAACTGCCATAGTTCCATGATCTAGGCTTTCTCACGATCACTTCGCTAGCTTTGCCATCAAAACGCTATGCAGAAGGAAAAATGCGATAAACACCCTGTCTAAATGAAGCGTAATCGACACACAGCTATTGACAGCCGGTGTCGACCGCGCACAGGACTCAGGGTGGTCAAGCTATGCATTACTCAGGCTACTCATAAGTAGTCAAATTTTAACGACCTTATGCGTGCAGCCCCCTTTCCCTTCTGCCCAGAGTGAACTTCGACCGGTATTTCGCAAACCGGGCATTTAAATGCTCGCATATCTCGGTTATTCATGTTGCCTTGTTTTTGAGGCTCGATTCTTCGTTAAGAGCAATGCACATAGCTACAAGCAGACAACGAACACCTGACAAAAGCAACGAAAAACCG